CACGCCTTCTTTCTTTGCGTGCACATTTGGGCGGCATTATGCTAATATTTCCACATAGTGAGGTAGATATGTGGGGCGTGTTTAAACGAGGCGTTTTAGGAGGGCGTGGACAAGTCTTAACTTTTTTTAAAGAATATCTCTTTGGATTTGAGACTTTAGTCTTTGCAACTTTACAGATCTTATCTATTCACGAACAGCTTGTAACACTCCAAAGAGAAAGGAAAACTTGAAATCGCATCATATGACCCCTTTAACTCCTCCACAACTGAGCTCTTCCCTCAGCATGGGAGTAAATCACAGTCTCAGACTTCAGGCTTGTGAGAAGACAATTTGGCATCTCAGCAGTAATGGCAGTTCATCTAAAGAAGTCTTAGTCCCTTTTGCCTTAAGTGCTGTGTATTTGACGTTTGAAACCTATTAGTATTATCTTTCAGTACTTCCTTGAGACATAGTTCTGATTATATTTTGGTGGACATAATGAAATACATGAAAGCTTAAAAATATAAAAATAAGTAGAAAATTGTTATTTTAAACAAGCATGTTTGAAGTCGGTATAATGTATTGTAATTTGTAGGTGACTGATGTCAGGCATGACTAATTTTCAAACTGCAATTTGCAACTGCAATTAGCTTGAAATATATATATATATAGATGTGTCAATGTGACATCGACCAGACTCATTTTCCTCATTTGCATGAATAGCTGTTTGGGAGAAGCTTTATTGTGTTCTTCTATAAATCTATAAATCATCATAATGCATTAATAATTTGATTATGAAACAGCTTGAGCTCCTGAACTCTGTTCAAATAAATCCAAATGTTTTTGGCAAAGCGCATTTATTGCTGTACTTACATTTCAACTCATTGATTTACAAAATGTGCTTAATGTTGTACTAACAAAAACATCTTTGAATCACATGGATCATTTGCGCAGACAGTTAATGCGCAAAAATAAAAGAATGAGCGCGAGAAAGATCTGTAAAAATGATTCACAGATTGGGGGAAGATGATGTTCCAAAAAGACATGTACTGTAATAGATATAACCCGGGCAGCTAATGGAGGGGAAAACTGTATACAGCGGAAGCCCGTTGGGAAAGACTTTGCCATGTTATTTTAAGTCTTCAACTTCCAGCTCTGGATGATGGTCTTTTTGCCCTGGGGTGCTTCCATAATCTAGAAAACTAGCAATGGGAAAGTGAGCCCAATAGTTTCTCGCCAAGTCCAGCAGTGTGTCATATCCGCTCTGAGCTCGCAACTCATCCACCCAGCCGTAGAAATCAGAGGACCAGAGGTTCCAGTATGGCAGACTCCTTTTCGCCCTGATCTCCTTGTGAGCTGGAACACCTTACAGACAAAGAAACACCTAAAAGCTGGAATACATTTCACGACTTTTAAAATCGGAGCTAATTTTAAAACACTAGGCTAATATTATAAACTTGAAGACTTTGTAAAAGGTTACAGAAAGAAACTGGGCATACCAGATGTTCAAGTTGTTCTAAACACAAAATATCAAACATATTTGATCTCCGACAACTATTGTGCTGTCTGAAGTCTATGTCCATATACTACACTATTTTCTCAATTCTGTAGATTGCCTCTGACTGTTAGCAACTAGCATTAACTTCTAGGCAAAAATCTAGGCAAAGTGTATTTCATCTTTAAAATGATAAACCATCTAAAGTGGAATAAGGGTATTTCTTCAAAGACGGGCACTTTTGTGTTTATTTTTTAAATTTTTTAAAAATGTCTCAAGTCTCAGACATTCAGTCTACACTAAGAAAGTTCATCATTTTGCATTGTTAAAAAAACATGCTAATTTAAACAGAGTGAAATAAACCATTTCATTATTTGTTGCATGAAAATTATTCATTTAAATTTTACACAAATAACGCTGTGGTTTCATTTCAACCACAACAAATGCTTTCAATCCAAATAATGATTTATTTATTTACTTAAAGTCCACAGGTCCAAAATGTCCAATAACTGAAGAAACTTAAATAAACCCTTACATATTTAACGTCTTTTATTAGCTCTAAAACACACAAAATGAGAAGAGACATTTCTCATCTGTGAAAGGATCTCAAATATTTAAGACTCTTGGCAAGCAAATCCAGTAATTCCACAGGAATATCATTCATCTGACGGAAGATAATGGGACAGAGAATTTCAACGCAGTGAAGTATATGCTGCTATGACTGATATAGCACTCTTACATAACATTCAATATGTTCCACAGTTAGTTTTAAAATCTTTATTGGCAAAAAGCCTGTGTAATTAGCGCCTATAATGCTACTAAACCAGACTTGCTTGCCAAATGTTTGGACTGTTTAGTGCAGTGGTGTTAATGGATCTGCCTAAAGCTGAAACAGACCAGCACACAGGCTAAATAAGCAGCAATACAATAAATACTTAAGAACAGTTAATCACATCAGCAGATGGGAGAACTGAGATCTTACCTGCTTCACAGAAACAAATCAGCAGGAAGGTGCAGAGAAGCACAAACACACGAATATGAGACATCACGTAACCCTGTGTGCTGAACAGATCATGGGAGAGAATTATTGCAAAAACTATTCAATTATAATAATAGCATCACATAACAAAATGAATAAGCTCCTATTAGCTAAATAGGCGCTGCAAGGATAACCTAAGTGTACTTTTGCATTTCTTAAGTCCAATTTTGGTTACCAGAAAACTTTTTCAATACTACTTTTTCTAAGGTCTCTAGTCTATTATTCTTTTGACAGGTGAAGGCTATTCGTTCCTTTTCTAAAAGAAGAAAGCAAAATGGATTTAATCATGAAAACCCTGTGGACAAAAACAAGTTAAAAAACTCTTCTCTCGTTTAAAGAGCGTCATTGAACTGTTCAGGTGTAAAATGGGCAAATAAGCAAAGACTTGGCTGTAAACTATTTGAAAATAGTTGAATGGATGGCTGAATCTGTTTGAGGTGTTGAGCTACAAGCTAGTCACACCTAAGGGACCTTCAGCAGAAACCAAGAAAAAAAAAACAAACACATGATTCCTAATCTTAATGTGACTGCTAGAAAGCATAACATATTCACATTTAATGAATATAGCATTTATTTAAAATAAAAATGGCTATTAACATCTTTACTGTATTTTTTTTATCAATCTTGCTGAATAAAAATATCAGTTTTTGAAATGATGCTGTCAGATCCATGAGAGGAAACTTACCTAGAAGTTAGAAGCAGAGAAAAGTCTTCAAGAGTGAGTCAAAACTCTAAAGACTGAGCTTGTGTCTGTCCTTCTCAAGTAAGTGTTCTGCTATTGACCAGCAAAATAACATGAAGAGTGCTTTGCTTTTTGCCAGAAAAGATGCCATCACATTCTTCTTCTAAGCCAGACTCAACATGTCTGTGTTACTTCAGTGGTGAGGGACTGTTTGCGATTGCACCGTCAGAAGAAACAGCCAGGTAGACAATCAGAAGTAGAAGAAAAACAGCTCAGTGGTACATTTACTGGTCACAATGTCATTCATGTTTATATGAGATTTTATTGACATGACAGATTTCAGGAGTGGGAGTGAAAACCCGATGCCGTCTGCAGACAGACAGACAGAGACTGAAGCACCTTCACATCCTCATTGCCTTGCATCAGCACAACGATTGTTCTGTCTGAGAAGTTGTCTGAGAGAACACTCCGCCAATCACACATCTATACAAACAGTGCATTGTGAACGAGGATTGTGGAAAGTTGTTTTTTATTTTTATATGGTGATCCAACCTTGAAAAGAACCCAAGGTTGATTCAAACTCAAAAGAACACAAAAGAACAAAAGTTCCTGTTTTATTGCACAAAATTGTTTTGTTCTTTACAGGACGTCTTTTGTCCTTGTAGGTGCTATGCCAAATTCATGGCATCCAAAAGAAAGTGGCAACCAGGCGAAGTGGTAATCAGTAGCTGTTTGCTCTCGAGCCCCTGCCCCTTTAATTGCTAAAGTGCCCCTTTAGTCCGATCTAGGTGCCCCCGGACCACGATTTCTACCGAGGGGGACACCAATCCCCATTTCTCCCCTGCCCCTCCTTAGGTCTGTGCATGCCACTGGTTTCTTGTATTAAGGCCTGTTCACACCAAAAAATGACAACCATAACAAAAAACATTGTCAAAGGCAGGCAGGATTTTGATTGGCTGTCAGTGTTTTTATTGTCCATTAGCTGGGAAAAATTGTTGTGAAAGTGATTCCAACAATATCTTTCCACTTTGACGATTGATTTGTGGTGTGGTCTGTTGACGTTAGACATTTAGACATGATTTTTAAAACCTTACGGTTACAGTTATTGTTAGTTATCGTTCTTGGTCAGAATGTGCATTTACTCTGCTGTCTCTCTCTCTTATCTATTCACAATAGCTAGGCTAAATGCCATCATCTTGCTTTCCAAAATGACTGAATGTAGTAAAATGACTAAGGCATAATAAATATCTCATAAATGTTGTGAATAAATGCCGATGACCAATTATACGGTTATTAAACCGATCATTTTAAGATTGACACATTTGCATTGTTGTTGTAAAGAAGCACATGATTCAACTGAAAATAAAATAGAGTAGATAGCGTATTGAATTTTACGTTGATGAATAGGCCTATACAAAGGATGAAATGCACTGGTCCTAGATTACGTGTAACTAACAACTTGCTTTAAATCTCTTTTATGGAGTTTTTGTCTACTGAAAAGTTTTTTGGGTTTTTTTTTATCGGTATTTTGTTTCAGTACAAACATTACAACCACTGAACACATTGTCCCTTACAGCATCATTGTATATCGTCATTGGTATAATTTGTGCAATTTAATATGTATATAATCATTCATGATAATAATATCCACAATTTTAAAGCCAGGGTGTCTCAACGGAAGGTTTGGGATGAGGTGCGTAAAAAATTAGCTAGTTCAACACCCACGAGATTTCAGGACGGAAACATGTCAAATGTCTTGAAACAAATCATCTGAACAATTGATGTGTGATTGTGACTCCAGGCCGTTAAAATTATTAGAGAAATAATGCCCCCCCGAAGTGGTTATGTGGCCACGTCGCCGCGCCTATTAATGGAATGGTCTTTCTCAGTTCTGAAACATATTAAGAGGTAAATCCGGCCCTGTATATATATATGTAGGCTATATGAGATGAAATATAACACCTAAGAGTTTCATTTTCAAATAAAATAAGAAATAAAATTAGGATTGACAGCATTCAAGCTTGGTGGTGCAGTCATCTCGCATTTGCAAACGTGACATCTGACGTCAATAGCTCTTGATTATTCTCACAATTGGCACCAAATGACTATCGATGATGCTAAGGAGATGGCCACTCGCAAAAAAAGAAAAGAAAACTTGGTTATAGATGGTAATAGTAAAGAGTTTTGGGTTTTTTTTTATCGGTATTTTGTTTCAGTACAAACATTACAACCACTGAACACATTGTCCCTTACAGCATCATTGTATATCGTCATTGGTATAATTTGTGCAATTTAATATGTATATAATCATTCATGATAATAATATCCACAATTTTAAAGCCAGGGTGTCTCAACGGAAGGTTTGGGATGAGGTGCGTAAAAAATTAGCTAGTTCAACACCCACGAGATTTCAGGACGGAAACATGTCAAATGTCTTGAAACAAATCATCTGAACAATTGATGTGTGATTGTGACTCCAGGCCGTTAAAATTATTAGAGAAATAATGCACCCCCGAAGTGGTTATGTGGCCACGTCGCCGCGCCTATTAATGGAATGGTCTTTCTCAGTTCTGAAACATATTAAGAGGTAAATCCGGCCCTGTATATATATATGTAGGCTATATGAGATCAAATATAACACCTAAGAGTTTCATTTTCAAATAAAATAAGAAATAAAATTAGGATTGACAGCATTCAAGCTTGGTGGTGCAGTCATCTCGCATTTGCAAACGTGACGTCAATAGCTCTTGATTATTCTCACAATTGGCGCCAAATGACTATCGATGATACTAAGGAGATGGCCACTCGCAAAAAAAGAAAAGAAAACTTGGTTATAGATGGTAATAGTAAAGAGAAGATAGATTTTCTGCATTTGCATAGTTAAAGACCACATCAAAGACTGCATACTGCGAACAGTTCAAAGGTAAAAAACCGTCCACCATCACAATAAGTTACAGCACAGGACCACCTGCATTATGTCACTAGATTCGATAAGCAGCAGCCATTGTTACGATAATAATTCAAACGTCTCAATATTTCTAACACAAAAAGTGAAATTAACTGTGAATAAATACTGCAAAAGTTGCATTTGCTTATTACAGTGAAGTAATATGATAATGGATGCTATAACTATGTTTAGATAAGAAGATGGCGCTTGGCATGACTTCATCTATCGCTGACAATAGAATAAAAAGGGTTGAACTGGCTGAAAAGTTTGGAAAGGTTATTTTCTGTTTAACTCTAAAGCTGTCTGATTGTGACATCCACTGGTGAACTGCACACATTGCAAGTATATTTTGTAAAAACTTATGACTCGTTTCAAAATGTCAATCGGCAGGTATTGTGATGAACTGATATATTTATTGAATTCACAACAGAAATCAGAATTGATGAAAAATGCTAAAAAAAAAAGCAACAGGCCACAGTACTTAAGTTCCTTTTAAGTTATTTTGCAAAACTTTTATTGAACAAAAGTATTTCAATTCTCACCACACTGTCCTCAATACAGTACCATAATGCTGGATTTAAACGATTCATATATGCACCATATCTTTGTTTAATATATATATATGTACATACAGTGGAAAGAGGAATTAAATAACATTGCTCAATAACATTCAGACAAATAGAAGAAAAAAAAAACTCCTTGACCAACACGCTTATTGGTAAACAGACTTAGAGTAATTGACAAAAGTAAAGAAATAAAATCATATTTTTGTTTATTACTCTTGAATTAGTGTTCACAATCAACTATGTGTTACTGAGAGCAGAGAAGACGTGTTGGTGAGGTGCAATAAGACATCAATAGTAGCAGAACTGGAAGTGGGTGGCACATTTGGTTGAAAGGACACATTCAAACTCTCTCCTTGTCTACAGAAACTACTCTCTTAGAAGCTACAATCTCTCTCTTTACCCCTATCTCTTTTAACTCCTATCATAACTGCGGCATTTATCTCCCTTAATGAAGTACCCTGATTCTGAAGAAACCCTGAAGTGACTCGGACCCAAGAGAAATACCTGGAAAGCTGTGCATGTTCGCATTGTAGGAGCAGAGAAGTCCAAACACAGCCTTCATGTATGCAGGATGGGACTGTAAATGCAAAAACATTGTCTGTAAAGGCTCAGAGGATGGGACAGTACCGCTTTACTTCAGGGTGAAATCTGACTGTCATCTCAGCTATTAGTTTGGATTCAGATTCAGACAGTGTAATGCGATAGGCAGCTGCAGTGTGAACATACATAGAGAAGTTGCATGGCCTTCGGATGAGCTCTACGAATGGAGACTGTTGGGAATCAAATCACACTCCTCATTCTTCACATGCTCGCCTGCTCTGAAGGATCAAGGTTAAGACATGCATATGAATCTATTCTTCTCTGCTAATTCAGTACAAGAGCTACAAATGTACATACTCTAATGCTGTTTTGGGCAGAGAAATGTAAACCAATATAATGTGGGTTGAGGTTGTGGATTAACCAGCAACAGGAAGAGCAGAAGAACAGCTGCCCAAAGGCTGGGAGAGAGTTCTACAGATGTTGCTCAGTGAAATGCCATTCTGTTTTTCTTTACCAAAACCTCCAAAACTGTAAATCATTAAAAAAAAAGAAAAGGGGGACGTATATCAAGGACGGATATCTCTGTTTAAAAGAATGACAAATTGCTATTGCTCCCTACCGGAGTGGAGGCAATGTTGGGTTCTGAAATGTCAAATAGTCCTTGAAGTTGCTTCTGAAAGGAGCTTTTTCCCCTCATTCAAGAATTTAGTAAAGTCAGAGGAGTGTGCAGGAAGAGAAAAAAAAAGGGAATCGAGGTGCACAGAGGGAGAGGTAACGTCTGTTGAAAAAGCGACAAATTCAGGCAAAGGGCTTGACAAGATAGAGTTTGTCTCCTTGCTCACTGGTGAAGATGGGAGCTTTCTTGTAGTGCTCTACAAGCTCATCCATACTGCTAAAACGCCGCTGACCGATGCAGTACACTCCATCCTGCAGCTGCACCTTGAAGTGCTTGTTCTTCCCCACAGCCTTCAGAGAAATGGAGAAATCACTGGGCTGAAAAAAAAAGAGAGTCATAGAAAGATAAATTGATGGGACATTGTTGCCACTGCTTTTCCATATCTAAACACCAGATGGCAGCATTGATTTGAATAAAATAAGGCCTGAACACCAAGTCACACAGCAGCTGAGAGGACATAGCCTTTTGGGGCAGTAAAACTTGATCCAATATTTCCTTATTGAATTAAAGAAAAAAATCTTTGTGACTTCCAGGTTTTATCCTTCTAAGATCTCTGATCGATTTCTTCCTATGATCCTTCATAGGGGCCATATAGCCACATTACAAATTAACAACAAAAAATTCACATTTGGAAAACCCCACACTATTCAGAAGAACATGTCAAATATTGTTGCAGAAAAGCACAGTTTACTGCCTGGTTTAAGTATAACTGAAATTGCTTAATTTTTCATATTGCTATGTGCCACACACATATTGTGTAGATGTATGGTCTCCAAGCAATATGTACCAACTTGGAACATATTTATTTGTAAGGAATTATCTTATCTTTTCACACCTTTTCAAGTTCCAGTTAAAAACTCCACAAAATATTTCAAAGAAAATAATAGATTGCAATTCAGTACCTTTCATTCATAAAGTATTTGACAACATTATTAAAATGCTTATGCAATATTAAATATTTTTTTCAAATAATTGGTTCACACTGTGCACTTTGGTTTAAGATACAGTACATTAGGGCTCTAAAAAAAAATTCGAATTTCGAATATTCGTCAAATTTAAAATAAAAATCCACATTCGAATGCAAAAACGTTGCATTCGAATTTTAGGTCTGCGTCAGGCAGCCTTATCAGTAGGCCTGTCGCAATAATCAACTTTGTCAGTCCCGCCGAGCTCCCTCACCTTCTTAAGGCAGGTCTCTAGGTAGTCTATGGGGTCATCCGGTCGGTAGTACATCAGACCAGTCAGCAGACTCTGAGAAACCAGTGACAAATCAGAGAGGTGTACTGTGTTTATCTGTTCACTGTAAGAATAGGGTAACATGCATTGTAAGTAGGCCTGTCGCAATAATTAATATATCGACTTATCGCGCAAAATATGTCCATGACCTCAATAATTTTTGGTGACGCAATATATCGCACATTAATGTCACCATGTTTTGTACATTCCACTTGCGCCTGTGTCTTTTGCAGCTTCTCGTACATAACGTGATGTAGTCATGAGGTGCTAGTTCAAATTTAAAAAATGCTTCTACAAACAAAGTTTCATCTGCAGATATGGTCTTGTTTAGGGATCTGTGCCTTTGTGCATACGGACATCTGACTGCTAAGTAGTGATCGTGTTTTTCAGCAATAGTGTGCACCCTTAATTTACAGAGAAAAGAAGGTCAGGAAAAAATCTGTATATGGAAAAATCTCCATACAAGTTACTTGTGCATTTTTCTTTTTTCTGCTTGCTACTTTGCACTTTTTGTTAAAACATTTTTATTTAGTATTTATTCAGGTTTTTTAAGGTATCTAGTGTTTTGATACCTGATTTCCATGATCTAAATATTCTTAAAAATTAAAAGTTTGTTGTCATTTGGAAGTGTGTAGGCCTTCTTGCATTATTATGCTGCTACATAAAAAAATGGCAATGATATCGCTTATCGCAATTATTTCTGGGGCAATATATCGCACAACAAAAAGTTGTTATCGTGACAGGCCTACTTATCAGTGGCGCACGAGATGCGATGACGATGTAGCCTAAGTGTCGTTGCATCTTAATGTTTTTGTTAGCCTATCCAGTTGAACCCACTGGATACGTTGTTCATTCAAAATATTGCAGAAAAAGAGAACAATCAATGCGGGGAAGATGTTGTTTACATCAAAACCGAAACCAAGCCGTTCACACAGAACGCATATTTATCGCATTTTCTAGAGGGACATCTATCACCGTTGCACTCGCGTCTCGCACAAGAGAGCCGCATGTTTAGAAAGCCATGTAAAATTAATGTAAGTTCAACTTTTAAAAAACATGTCTCAAGACTTTATAGCAGTTTTCCCCATCCCACTGCATCTCAAGTTTTTAAATGAAGAAAGTACTCTTTGTGATTGGTTTTCGGTCCTTTGTATTAAACTATACATACATGCATGATGCTGTTTTGTTTCTAATTGTTTAAGCAACTTTATTAATTATATAAGGTTTATAAACATTATTTTAAACATTATGCACTTTTTTCAAAGATAGTCAGTCGTGTTATTTTATTATGCTTTGAAGAAACGTGCATAATATTTTGCTCGATGCGCCCTCTTGTGGCCTCGGGAGAGAAGCCAAAAGCTTTTTTCCCCCCTAAATGAAATTATGCCTTTTAAATTCGAATACAATTCAAATATTGATAATATTTAAGTGAAAAAATTGAATTTAGTTTTTCAGCCACTTTGACAGCCCTACAGTACATTACATAACTCAATAAAGTAGCTTGGCATGCAGATGTGAGGGAAGTCGGTTCAACTTACCGATGACTCGCTGTCCCGTATCAGAAAGTCCCCTTCCACTCCTCTCTCATTAAGTGCACACTCAGCTTGGTGCCGTGTCACGTTACCGTAGTACCAATCCTTTCCAGCAAATTTGCCTGTACGTGATGGAACTGTGTGACTGATGTGAGGAGAGCCATGACTTGACCCTAAGCCCTTCGCAATTGGCCCATCACTGAGCACTACAACATAGTTCTTGGGCACAAGACCGACCATGCCTCGACTGTTTTTACACCTCCACCACTCTGGGTCATTCTCTGGCTTTTCCAAAACTTCCATCGTCTCACCCTTCTCAAAGTTCAGTTCCTCTTCTGTGACTGAGCTGAAGGGGTACAGGGTCTGGACCACATGCAGAACGGAGCTCCCGGAGCTTCCCGGCCGGCCATTGGCCATCGCCACCCCTTGCCCTACCTTCAAGGACCGGAAGCCCCCCAACGAGTCCCCAAAGACACCATCATGGTCTGCGTATCCCACCTCCTCTTGGACGTAATTGGATGGGAACCAACCGACACGGCCGGCATGGCTACCCCTCCACCAGCCGTCGCTGCACTTCTCCATGACTGCCACCCTTTCCCCTTTAATGAGGTTGAGTTCATCTTCACGCTCAGCTGCGTAAGAAAACTTCACCAGTGCGGGAATGTTCAGGTCATAGATCCGCTCAGCCCCGCCCACTCCACCCCCTCCTGCGCTACCATTGGATGGGTACTCTGCCTCTGTGCTGGGTGTGGGAGATGGATCACGAGCACTAGTCTTCCTTTTCGTTTTTCCCAGGCCTAAGAGGAATAGAGAGACGCAAAACAAGTAAGGAAGTAGAAATCTGGAAGAAAGCTGTCAAAACAGAGTCGTGACAGATCATTACACCAATGAATCATTAAATCAATTAATAATAATTTAATTTAATAATTTATGCATTTAGCAGACGCTTTTATCCAAAGCGACTTACAGTGCATTCAGGTTATACATTTTTTACCAGTATGTGTGTTCCCTGGGAATCGAACCCACAACCTTTTGCGCTGCTAACGCAATGCTCTACCACTGAGCTTTTACCAATGCTAATAGCTGGCATTGTGACATTGACATTTATGAAATTGTTCATTTAACTTTTCTTGAACATCTGCATT